ATAACTTATGTGCTATATTAAGGTAAATGCACCAATGTCGAGACACTTAAGACCAATGTCTGGACACCTTTATCATTTTAGTTTTATAATAAGCATAACGCAAATTAATATCATAGATAAAAGTATAATACAAGAAAAATATCTTTATCTTTAATTCTTTGATTTTAATTCGCATTATAATTTATTTAAGAACGGAAATGATAAAAATGTCCAGACATAGGTACGTGTCCAGGCATTAGTATATTTACCTTAATACATACAAGATATTTATTGCACAAGTACGACGAAGCAATAGAGACATTTTCAAAAATAATATATAAAATAATTTTAGTAACATAATTTTTAATTAATTTTAATTATTAATTTTAGTATAGGCGCTCGTTTTGACGTATTTTTGTTCTTGTGTTGCAGCATTTATATATATGGTTGCCATTATATTTGCTGCAACCGCTCTCGTGCCACGCATCTTGGATGTAGTGTTTCCATTGAATACTTCCCGTCCAGTAATGTTCGCATATCCGGCATACTATTTCGTTGACGAAAATGAATATTTCTATTATATTTTTTGCTATACGTTATTTACTGGCGTTACAAATATGACTGGATTAATTGCGCACGACATCACGTTTTTCGTTTACACCGAACACGTCTGCGGTCTTTTCGCCATCGTTGGGTAATGACTATTCATTCATACTGAGAGCGAGATCACATCTCTTTTAGTTAGGAGATAAATATAATTCTCTATACCGAGGAATAAATGTAACGTAATAATAGTTTCAGTTTTTGTACATATTTACATGAAAGAAGTTAACCCTTTTGGTAATGAGCGACTGGGACGCGAACAGCCCTTCGGTGACCAACGCGTCGATTCGCCAATATACGCGATTCGGCCGAGAGAGTTATGCACTCGACGTTCAATGCCTCCATTTACAATATGTATCATCTCATCATATCTAACTAGTGTAATAAAATTCAGTAACAAAAATAATTTAAAATATTTATCAACATAAACGTTTTAAGTTAACATTTCCAGTTGCTCGGTCGGCTTTAATTACCACTTTTTAATTACCGGCATTACTATCTACGGATAACAATTTAAAACGTCTAATATAACACGACATACTCCAGAAACGAGTTAATAAAAATGTCTTGTCAATTTACTTAAGTTTACTTCTACTTATAAAATACAGTTTGAAAGAAATCAAAATATTATTATACATTAAAAAGCTGAAAAATGAAACTTCGTATAACGTTTTCGATTTGTTGTCTCGACCCGACTCGAGTCAGATTGAAAGTTCGGAAAAATGATAATAAAATATGATAATATGCCGCCATAATGCTAAGAATATGTGATGGAAGTTAAGGAACGCTTTCTGTCATGATATAATTTAGAGTCATCAAGTTTTAAACTGAACTTTCGATCTGATCCGAATCGGGTCGAGCCAACAAATCGAAAATACTAAGTTTCAACGCTGTTCAATCGAATCGACTGTCATACGGCGCCACTCATTGTCAGTCATGACAGTTTACGAATTAACTTAGTGTTGCCAACTTAACTGACACGAAAACAAATATACCTGCCCCACCGGTGGGGCAAAAGTGCGTTTTTGCAATCAGTTCAAAAAAAGTTTATTACGTGAAATGTATTCAAAATATAGACATAAACTAGTGAACTTTGAAAGAGAATGTTTTAAGATTTTACAGTTCAAATTTCAAGATTCTAGCAATATCTAAACGGTAGATATATGGAATCAAAAATTGAGTGCGTGATTTTGCTCCATTCTATTCTATAATGGACTGTGACTATATAGTCACTCTCCATACCGAAAGGGTTAATTCTTAAATTCAGAAATTAGTTCTGAAAATTCTCTAATAACATTATTTCACGCTCTACTTGCAGATTTAGACTTGAGCATTTGTTACATAAACGTTGTGCTATAGAAAAAAATATGATCGATTATCCGGATGCCGTGTATCACAAGAATATTGTGATTTCGATTTACATTCATCATAAGGCTCTACAGTGAGTTTGTAAACATATTCGTAACAAACGTAATACATATTCCTTTCGTTAATCCAAATGTCAATTAAAAAATCTCTGATAATCCGTGATAAGTTACGATGTTTTTGCTTGACTTTTATTTAGATATTTAGTCGTCATTATTATATCTTTACATCATAGATTTGCTGAATTTCTTGAGAGTACTTTTACGATATCGTTCGCCGTGCAACTTCTGACCATTACAATTGCCTTGAGTATTTCTTTACTACGAGTGAGTTACTTACGAATAAGCAAATACTAGAACTCTGTAACGTAAAGAACAACTAAAACAGGAATTTACCTTTCACGCGTTCAAGCTTTCGATACAGCTGCACAATTTAGCGGAAGCGTTTAGGTACTTCCTCTATATTTTTGCTCAATTGTTTCACTTGTTTTGCTTAAGCTTCCAAGGACAAAAGCTGATAGATCACAGCCTCGAGACTTGCGACAAGATGTAAGAGAAAGAGACAATATTTAATTAAAAAATGAATTATTTATCAATATATAAATTTGATTGGTATAGAGGATATCATTTCCATAGATATCTTTTACATAAGAATTTAATTATTTTCTACAATCAGTATTCTTATTTGACGTGCATATTTTATGCATTATTTTATAATGGCAATTTTATAGATATCGTGGCTTGTGGTATACCATA